GAGACAGCTCAGCAAGCGCCTGGGCAATGATGCCCCAACAGATCCCAAAGTTTCCCAGGCCAGGCAGGAGCGCCATTGCCATGGTAACATTCAGCCGTGCAGTCGCAGTGTGCTGACATCATTATCTGTGCCCTCATTTGCGCACGATGGGCAAGCAGCAATGTCTGTCAATTGTGGTTGTGTTTGGACTTGTTGGCTCTGATCAAGTGGCATACCACGCGGAATATGATTGCACTGGATCAGATCAAAGTGCTGCCTCTCGATACATATTTGCAGGGGCTGCCGAAAGTCGAGGTGTATCGTTGCCGAAAGTTGCTGCGGGTGCAATTCTATGGTGCTGCTGATATCCATTGATGTCGCATGCTGTGGCCTCTTCAATGCGTGCTTGCAGTTGTGGCATGTTTGATGACTCCGACATGCGTGTTGTCTTAAGGGACTGGCCTGCACATCCTTCCCTGTCAAGCTATCCCTTAGCCACCCAGCTGCTAAGGTCTGCAAGCAGCGGCCGCTTTGCCAATGAGTTGCAGATTGCCCCGTGCCGCTCGGCAAGCCGCACTAAGGTGCCACTTCTGTGTCTCAAATTAATGTCCAAAGCAACATGAGAAGCCAAGACTCTATCTCACCGCCCAAACCCGGGACAAAAATGCATGACAGGCATGTGACAAGCTGCAAACCTTGTTTTAAGCTTTGGTGCTTGCCTCAGCCTTTGCAGCTCAACAATGATCAACTTCTTGAAGAGGCTCTTTGTGCCCGATGTTTTATTGCCAAATATACCGGTGCGCGAGCAAGGATCAGCGGACGTCTAGGCCCGGTCTTCAAAAGCGATTGGCACCGATCTCACCTCGCACAAGGGCCATGCAGGATGATAGGAAGTCCTTGTTTGTCGCTTGCCATGTTTGCAATCAACGTGCGAAGCGACGTTCATTGATGCTCTCAAGGTAGGCCACATGGAGCTCAAAAGTGGAACGAACTCATTCCGGTTTTCTCGGGGCACTCTGGTCGCTAACAGCTGCTCTTTCGGGTAACATTCCCACCTCCAAGTTCTTGAAGTCGCCATACACGGAGCCGTCCAGGCCGGCAGGCTGCAAATGCTCCTTTGCGATGGCGAAAACCCCTCCACTCAGTCTTGCACGGTGCAGGGTTGTAGGACAAACAAGCATTTCAAGTGTGCAAGGATGTTTTTGGAAAGCTTCAAAGTAAGGACTCCGTTCGTCCAGTACCAGGCTGGAACTCTTACTAATATGCAAGCTCGTTTGGAGGAACTGAGGGGGCTTTGGCCTTTGCTCATGGCTGCTTTTGGAGTAGTACTGCCTTGCCCAAGCCACTTTGGCTATTTTGGCCCCTTTCCCAACTGTGCGCATTGTTTGCCAGAGCGAGGTTGGCTTCGAAACAAATTTCCCATGTCTCACAATCTTTACTGAGCCCCCCTCACTGTGGCATTGAGGACTCGAGGGCAAACTGAGCAGCCTGCAAAGATGAGGGCAGTGCGTGTCTTGTGCTCTCATGCGTATCTGTGTGCGTCTGTGTGCGTCTGTGTGCGTCTGTGTGCGTCTGTGTGGGTGTGTGTCTGAGAGCTTCCAGTATCCAAACAAGATGATTAGAGCTTATTCCAGGCTAAAACCTGTTCATGCCCCAGCATACTCGCACATTTGCAGCCCAAGCTTCCGCGAAGATGCGGCTCAAGATCTGAAAGTGGGCAACACATCCGATGCTCTTATGCCTCAGCAGTTGGAACACTGGTTGTCAAATGAATACAGTACTCACAAAAAGAAAAACCGGCAAGCTCCTGCCAGAAGTTGTGCCACGCAAACCCTCATGTCAACACGAGCCAGGTCTACATCTGTCTTCTTCCAATGCCGTATCACCAATAGCAAGTCAAGCGTCAGCGTCAGTGCAGCTTCGACGCGGCAAACTACAGCAAACCCCACTTTCACTCCACACGCTAAGCAAAGGACTCCTGGCTTCGCAGCCAGGTGAAGAACCTGCGAATCTACGTGGACTACCCCAAGATTGCGCCCGAGCAACAAAAGGCACAAGTTCCCTGAAATAGCAATGCGGTGGGCTGCCATCCTTAACGAATGATACAGTACTTGAGCATATTCAGCAGTCTTGAATACATCTTCCTATCTGGGGATTCTGGTCTGCGGTGAATTCAACCAGAGGCTACAGCAGGGCTTGGTGTTCCACATGGAGGTTGCGGCAATGACCCACACACGGGAGGTGTCTCTAGAGTGCTTTTTCCTCCTGCGCAACTTCTGCAGATGCCCTGCCTGACTGCGTTGTTTGAACAGCTCAAATCAAACTTCATGAAGAAGGACACTGGCATTGAGTGAAGCCAAGGCTGTTTTCCCAAAGCTCCGCAGAATACTACAACAGAACTCATCCATTCGGCGCCTCCGAATGCGCTCGTCCGCGCTCTCAGGCGTTTCCACCTGAGGACTGATCAGCATGTCCATGCTGACACAAGACACCCTACCAGTAAGACCCACGTGTCCCACGAGGCGTTTGCCACGTTTGCCACGATGTGTCTTTACATGACACGCTTCCTTGCAGCTGCGTGGAGAAAAGCAATGTGCAAGCATCGGCAACCGCAAATCTTTGGAAAACGATAGGGTACTCACTAAACGTGAAATGAATACACGCTTCACAGGCGAGAATGAGACTAGCTCACACATCTTTCGGGCTCCTCTATGCCGGCTGATCCTCATAGGATACAGCACAAACAGCCTTGTTCGTCATGATTTGCGCTCTTTAAAGCTACCGCAACTCTGCACCCATGCCCACACGGAGCGAAACAAGTCACGACACCTGCTGAGGATCTGACAGTGTATACATGCACAATATTCCTGCATGCTGCTGTTTACACAATATATTCCTTTGCGTCGCTGCAGCTTACAAGCATGCTGTGGACGACAAGGAACTAGCAGCATTCTTATTGTTGCAGTCATGTTCTGAACAGTTCCAGAGAAAAACCTCAATGCAGATCCCTCAACTTGCAACCCGTGGCATTTACCCCCTAGATCAAAGTGAACCTCCATGAGCACAAGCGATGGATGGAACTTCTGTCAAAGGTCGTTCATGCAACTGAAAGCGAGAGCTTGTAGCTGGCACGAAGGTTTTCCGGACAGCCAGCTGCCTGCTACAAATTGAACGTCAACAAAGTGTTGAACATGCAAACCATGCCGCGCCCAAAGTCTGGTCCACTAAAACAACCGGCTCAAGCCACAAACCAAAATGCGCAGGAACTTCTGACCAGCCTGGTTGGGCCCCAGCAGCATATCCGCACCGTCGGGCACCTAACTGATACGTAAGTGCAATCTCCACTTTGCCACGAGGAAAGCTCTTGTTGAAACACAAAGGCATGCCATGGCTCAATTTCGCGCAAAATGTGACCGAAACGCCTGGATTCCGTCTTGTGGCCCTTTGCTGTCTAAGCGGCATTGGCAAAGTCGGCATGCGGGAAGTCCTTCTTCAGCTCCTGCGAATGGAGCTAAAGGGGATGTGCACCTCGAGAGCTTCTGTCGGATTGCACCCGACAAGACCTGATCCATCCTGTGTCAGTCTATAAGTTGTACGTTGCCCTTTCACCAAGCCTCAGGACATTCATGTTCACATGGATCCAGGCACAGCTGGCTTCACCCTAGCCGCAGGTCTCAGCTCCAAAGTCTCCTCCGGGGGTCTCCGGGAATCACAAGGCTGGAACTGCTTGCCACAGAACTCGCGAAGGGCCTGGCAGAGCTGGGAAATCTAAAGGATGTTTTTTGCACTAAAGGAAGTTTAGACTGAACTTCCATAAGAAAGCTTATGGTAAGTAGCGCACAGGGCTTGTTGAAGATGAACAAAGAATTGCAAACAGCTCTGCGACTACGCGGCTTGCTTTGGCACGTGTGCCGAAAATGTCTGGGAAGTATCCAGGAGCTATCTGGAAAGCAGGAGCAGAAAGCTACCTCTGAACCACACATTTTTCTCAGAGTTTCCGGACTCTTGGCAGATGAGGTGGCAAAATCCACGGCAAAACGCGGGGTGTGCATTGTGTTCGGTCGCTTTCCTTGGGTCGTGGGTGTCCTTGGACCGTTTCGGGTTCGTTTCCGCAAGTGTCCGGGAACTATGGGAAAGTATCTGGGAAGGGTGTCCAGAAAGAGACAGAGAAAAGGAGAAAAAGACAAAGAGACAAAGCAAAAGAGGAAGAGCAAAGGAGAAAAGGAAGCGGCAAGAAAAAATCGAGAGAGAAACAGAAATAGGACAACATGTTTTGGTTAAATAAAGAAAACAATAGAAAGAAACTCCAAGCAAAAAGGAAGAAACAATGCGCTGGTTCCTGCGTTCTTGAAACTTCTGCCCCCAGGCGTTGCCGGCTCTACTGGTAGCAAGTTGCTCAAGGCTTCCACTGTTTAACAAGCACGTATCAGGGCTTGACTGGACAACCTTTACACATGGTCCTTCCAAGGCAACTTCATGTATCAAGTACAAACACATGTGTGGTGGAGATTGACAAATGACCGGCCTTAAACCTTGCAAAACTGTGATGAGTATGCCGTCAACACCGGTCTGGATAAGATGTTGTCTGGGCAACAAACCAATGCATATCATATGCCGCCAGAGCGCGCAACAGCGCAAAAGCCCTTCAACAGCATGCGTCAGTTGGACCAAGAATAAACACATTTAGACTCGGGGATGTTGTGGCTGAGAAGTCAGTGTCAATAGGTGTCTGGCTTTGACACTTTGCTCCGGACATGCCTCGTGCGCGACAAGGGGCGGGCCACCAGCGTTGCAGCCGAAAATCTGAGGCCGATGGACGAGTAATTTGCGAGCAAACTCTTGCTCGTTCTCACTGGCAAATCGGGGCATTACCCCACCAACATTCCCTACATACAATTGTGATTCATGTTGCAAGGAGGGCCATTCCCAAACTACCTACTGGTGATTTGAACGTTGCTGTTCCCACTTTAAACCTAAAGAGTTGGGGTTGACCTAGTTCAGGCTCCAACCATCGTGGAGTAAGAATTAAGACATGGCATACAACACAAGTGCTGGAAGGAGGGCCCATATCATGCCATATCGACCTTGCAGCTTATCAGTGTCAGACAATCATGCACCAGCCAAAGCTTCT